AGCCCTCGCTTCCATCTTGGAGGTGATGGTATCAGCCAGGCCACATTCTATCACTGTGAACACATAGATTGGTCTACAAATGGAGGACAGGTTGCTCAGGCAGTGAGGCTAAGCATAGCAGTACAGACCCATGGAAGCCCAGGAGTAGAGTCCTTTGCTACCTGGGCAGCATATCTGACACTGGCTCTTCCAGAACCTCTCCTTGCCTCACCAACTGCAGCAACAGCTCCCTGGCCTCTGCCTTCTCTTGGGATGCAGTTCAGGGGGTATAGACAGGAGATCCTGGGGCAGAAAGGAAGAGAGGCATCTATTCACCTTCGTCTCTGCCTGAGGGGTTGGCTGTCAGAGTCACAGCTTGTCAGGCAGCCCTTCCAAGCAGCTGTGTTGCACTAACCATTTCCTCCCTAGCCACTCAATCTTGGGGTGCGTGGCTTCCCACTGCTTTCCAGTCCTGGAGGACCGCATTAGCCTTGCTGACGTTTCTCTTCTGTAAGTCATCATAGTAATCCCCCTTTTGATGATTCTATGTTGAGTTTAGGTTTTTTTATAGTTTGTTATTTATTGAGAAGGTGGATTGAGATTGTAGAGTAAGAAGGAAGAGGAACTAACTGAAAGCTCTTTGGTTTCCTGGCCTTGGACTTCAGGGAGCTTTGTTTTATCATTCGTAACATGTGATGAACAATGTCTTCCCAGCCTACTCTGAAGTTGGTAAAGAAGCCATGGAATTCAGTGCTTTATTAGCTAGCTTCATTTAATAAACGTTTGAACAGCTGGTCACATTTTATGGGCAATATCATCCAGAAAACATAGTAGAAAAGATTATATTGTGTATTGATAAGATGCATGGAACTGAATATCAAAAAGAAGCCAAGTAGAGATCTAAACTGGGGGTTGGATAGAAGTTGCTTCTTTTCTACAAATAAAACTGCCACTCAGCTGCCTTGGACCTATGTTGCTGTGCTCTACATTGATATCCACAGTGCCAGGCTTAGGAATTCTAGAGACCTGTTTCCTTTCAGAATTTAAAAGCAAAGCAAAGCTGTGTAAAGGATGTTTAATGTGTAGCACTGTGTTCTTTCAGAAACAGACTAGACAGGATCCAGAGAAACCACTGGCTTGGTTTTGGAAAGGGAAGCCACTAGCCAGGTCTCACAACCTGCCGTCCAGTGCAACAGCACGTTGGAGCACAGGTTCGCATGCATGTAGGTTCATGCCTTTGATGGTACACCACTTCTGTTACGCTCCTTGACTGAATGGCACCATACGAAGGGTAAAAAGTCAATCCAATCACAACTCATCAATGAAGAAGTCTGAGGCCACAGCTTCCCTCATTTTTTAATATAGTGTAATTTCTTCCAGCAAAAGCATCAAGGAAGAGGGATTATGAGCAAAAAAAGGATCCCAACTTCATTATCAGTGACTGTCCTGCAACTCAGCAACACTCCTAGTCTAACATGGGGATTTGAAGAATTCATTTTCAGGACATGTGATCTTATAGGTAAGTAAAGAATATTCGTGAATTTCCTCTAGACCCTAGAGATCAGTGGAGAGCATTTGTCCAAATAACCTTCATTTGTTCCTGTGGACACATTCTTTTTTAAAAAATAACTTACTGAGAATTTCATACATGCATATAAAGTGTTTTGATCAAATCCATGCCCACTCCCTCCCCTCTAACTCCTCCCATATCTCCCCATCACTTTTTTTCTGATAACTTCATGTACTCTTTCTTCTTTTATTTTTTTATGGGGCTTCTTACTCCCCTAACATTCCCCCCTCTGAAGAGGTAACCCTAAAATCTTTTAAGGATTAGATACAAGCACCTAAACACTTTTGACATTTTTGGCCTTTGGAACAGAGTATGTTGCTAACAGACCCAAGGACATTTTGCTTTTAGCCAAGAAACTGGCTACTTTTCTTTGGTTTTTTTTTTTTTACCCTAACTGGCTGCCTATCCAATTCCTACCTCCTATTTTTATGGAACCATCCTCTGAAGAGGTTACCCAACTTGTGGACATGGAATTGGGACACAGACTGCTCTGACTTCTTCCATGCTGAACAGGGATGCAGGGTGAGGCAACCAGGGTACCCCTGCAGTGGGTCTATCTAAAAGACTCCCAAATTGCATAACTCTTATCTGTAGGGGGGAAAGAAGGTCCTCGACTGGTGAATAGGAGATGTGAAGAAGTAAAGGCAAGAGTAATTAGCATTACAAGTTCTAGACAGAGAAATAGAAAAAAGTCAGAACAGGGCAATTTTCAAATGTTCATATGAGAGTCCATTGGAATTTCTTGACAAGGGCTTCCAAAAGCATCCCTCTATTGGATTCCTCCTCATTTTTCTTTTGTCTGCCAAGGCTGGACTTGAGAGTGATGGATCCAGGATTTACTTTCAGGCATTTTGATAGCTGTTGGAGTGGTTAGAATCAGTGTCAGTTCCCTCTCAAACGCTTCTAGATAGGGAGAGAAAACAAATTTATCCATTATTCTAGAACAATAGTGAGTTGTTTCCCTTGACATTTTATATGGACTTAAGCCTAATGTCTAGGAAGTGTAATCCCTTGAACTCTTAAAGAAATATACTGATCACTTTAATCTTTGGTTATACTTTCCTTTTGGGTGTTTAAGACCATACATTTGGCTCAAATAAATCAATTTATTTTTACACTTAGGGTCGTTTGAGGATCTGTGCCTCAGGGGTCTCATGTACTTGGGAGAAGCCCCTGGCTCCTTTCTTTTACCAGTTCCATCTATATGAAGATAAGTCAAAGGTCCTGCTCTACCATGTCTGGCTCCACTTGGAAGCATGAATGAGATGTTTTCTCTGAGTTGACCCTCCTCTTTGTAGACTAGACACTGGTTCAAGTCCATCTTGTGGGGTCTCCATGGCCTCCCTGAACAAGAGGACAAGTAACTCACCACAGTTACAGGACATTTTGAGAGATGTTCCATAGTCCCCTGGAACTTAGTCGACCTTGGAGGGCAAGGGGCAAAAACTGTCCTTTAAGTCCCTCTGACTACATTACTTTAGGCCTCAAAGTATGGCTGTTAAACATCCAAGAAGGATGGTACTTTTAATTATCATGTGCTGTGTAGATAAGGCTTGTGTAAAAAACCAAATAGTCTCAGATAAACCTTGACTAGATATATATTTGTTCCTTAAACTCGTTGTCTATACTATGACCATAGAAACTTTAAGATTATGTGTATTTTTGTCTCATCCTTTATGTATAACAAACCTACACAGACCTTCATCACTTGCTTAGGCTTTCTCATTTTTTTCTATTTAAAAAAATATCTCCATTCCCATATCCTTTTAACACAATTTACATTCTCATTTTCTTTTTTAAAAAAATAATTATGAGACATAATAGCATTAACAAATTTTCCATCTGTTGTGAGACTTCTTTTCTTGGGGATGCTAAACGATGCTCGTTCCCTGTTAAGGTTCTAATGTCAAGACAGTGTTTGATTAAAGTTTTACTGGGGACCAATGAATTTATCAAGCTTATCTTACCGAGATAACTGAGGGGTTGCTGAGGTGTATGAATGACCTGAGGGTATGCACACTGGAAAGCCTTTACCCAGCATGGGTCAAGTCTTCTCTTCCTAGCCTTCCCCAGATTGTATACTTTAGCCCTCTCCAAATCCAGGAGACCATATGTGATCAGGGCTCAATTACATACAGTTGGTTGGGAAGAGTGGCTGGATACTCTGGTGAGGGTCCACTGACCCTGCATGCCGTCAACTAGCCCAATTGTGACGATGTTTAGCAATTAGGCACAGCTGAAATTGTGATGATGGTAGTTATTTCATGCCAAAGAGACTGCTATACAGTGTCATCTTATTAAAAGGACATGGAATTTTAAAGGATTTGGTGCTAGGTTCTGTTGACACATTCTTATGAGAGCTGTTTGGATTCATGAAAATTGAGGTGTCTCAAAAAGACTAGGATGCCAGTTCAGGGCACTGCATGGGCCCTGATCCCTCTTATCCCCATCCAACCTCTATTCATTTTCCTTTGGGATAATATCCTACAATATCTAACTGGATATCCTACTTGGTTTCTAAGTCTCATTGCCAAAGACCTAGAATCTTGGAGGAATTGGATGTGCCATTCAAAACAAAGCATTACAAGGTGTGTGTTGTGCTGCTATGAAAATCCTTCCTCAGAAAGCATTCAGGCATGGTGGAACTGGCCTGCAGTCCCAACACTTGGGAGGTGGAGGCAGAAGGATCATACATACCCTGTCTTAAAACCAGGGCTGGAGAGATGGCCCAGAGGTTAAGAGCACATACTGCTCTTGCAAAGAATTGGAGTTCAGTTCCCAGTACCCACATACAGTGGCTGGTAACTTTAGCTTCGGGGAATCTGAAGCCCTCTTCTGTACTCAGTGGGCACTGGCCCACACATGTGTATACATGTGACCCCCCCCCGCTGACACATATACATTTAATTAAAAATAAAATAAATCGAAACAGCAAAACAAAGAGATCTTGGTCTTGAGTTGGCATTTCTGACCCTTAAGCCTGAATGACCTAGATTCAAGAAGACTGGAAATCACATAATATCAAAATCAGCATGGGACACTGGAGGGAACTTACATTGAGACCCTGTTCATGTTAACATAACATAACCAAGATAAGATCACTGCATGTGGCAACATGGTGACACACTTAAGTGTGTTGATAACTTGTGACTAAATTGTTATTCCTTCTCTAAAAAGATTTATATTGTATCAGAAAGCAATGATCACACAAATTTCACATGGACTCATGCATACATATACTGTGTATAATGCATTTGGGGGAGCATTGTACACGGCACATTAAAAAGCAAGAAGAGCTGAGTCTAGGTGAGTGGCAGTGAACCAAGTTGGCTGTAAACCTAAGTCTTGGTCAGTTACTGAGGTGTGTTTTAGAGTTAGTATAGGTTGTACTTTGAAGATAGTTTCAATATTAATTTAGTCCACATATAAGAAATATAAGACATTTTTGGTATCATTTCCAATTGTTTCTTTATTAAACTTGGTAGACATTAAATTAGTATTTTCATTTTGAATAAACCCCCTCAAGTATGCACCATGACTTAAAATATATTCTAAATATAAAGCACTCTGGAACTCCATGCCATCATTATAACTTAATACCGCACTGAATGCTACTGCTTCATAAAGCAAATTCTTAAATACAAGGCTGACTCTTCTCCAGGATCATGATCTCCACGTCTGCTTTTAGTTAGATTTAGGCTTTCAGTCACTCACCACTTGCCTGCATGGGTCTCTGTGCAATGACACACTGGTGTTTAGATAGCACCAGTTGCAATAACTCAAAGGAATGGCCAGTCATATGCCCTCTACCCTTCTACTCATGGTAAAGAAGCCAACTCTGAAGAAGAGAGCCCTGAAACTCAGTTGGGGCAGAGCCAAGTGAAGGGCAGAAAGGAAGCCGAGTCAAGCCAGCATGTCCAACAACAAGCTGACTTCACACAAAGACACCACAGAACACAGGTGACACCTAGCAGAGTAGGTAGGTGTTCAGTGTGGCCGAGTTCCACCCCACCCTCCCTTCTTTCAACAGCAAGTTACTGAAGTACTGAAGTTCTGTGCTCTTTGTCTTTGAAGATGGTAGAGTGTGATTTGGGAGTCCTTCTGCCCCCTCCCCCCACCACAGTGTGATCCAGGACACAGGTTCCTCACGTGGAGGGCAGTCCCACAGACTTCCTTCTCACTCATGTGGGACTTAACACACTGCAGCCGCCCCTTGCACTGCTGCTCCTGACTGTCTGGAACAGGAGGGTTTTCTAATTTCCCGATGCCCTGGTTTACTGCGTGGGAAAGAAGTGGCTTATATTCTATAACCACACAACCCAGTATGGCACACATCTTTTTTTTTTCTCAACAAGTGAAAACTGGTGATGTAAAAACAATTTACATTACTTGGCAACTTCAATGACAGATACTTCTCTATTCAGCATTTCCAGAAGTGTTGATCTACATTAAGGCTGTTAATGATGGCTGGGTTAAACCTTGCATCCTCTCCTACGTACACATCTACACCCACATCTCTGCTCTGTCACTACCACCTGTCTTGATCGCAGTCCTAAGCGAACTGTGCACTGCATTCCAGGTAGAAAACCTGGAGCGTGGAAGGGTTTCAAAGGAGTAAGAGAAGCAGGGAAAGCTGCAGCTTGGGCCGCGCTTCTCTTAAGCTCAGCTCAGAAACAGAATGAGGACGAGGTTAAGAAGCCTAGCTGCCACCTTGCTGCCACTCCCACACACGCCAGCCCCAACTCTCCGCAGACTTAAAGTGCAATCACTGCTATGAAGTTCTCAGGTCAGAGATCAAGCTGGAGGAAGTTCAAAGCTGAAACTTCAAACACACTGCTCACGACTCAGGCTGGAAGGGGGAGGGGGAAAAGGCAATGACAGTTCTCAGGCATTCAAGTGCATCAAAAGAAATCAATGTCCTTTCTTTGTATAAAGAAAATTTGTAAATGCTAAGGAGTCTTGGTTTGGAAAAATAGATCTTTCTAAAACTTCTATCTGAGGATGTTCCAATGTGAAAGAGTCCAAAGGCAGGCAACGGTGGCTAGCAGCAGCGGCCCAGCTGTCCTCCCCGCTGCCCGACCATACTGGTATCCTCGACTGTCTTCCGACAAGTCTTCGGCTTTGGGCGAGGAGGAGGCACACTGCACCAATGGCATCTGATAGGATGTAGCCCTCTTCTCAGGCCTGTCTGGACTGGAGCCATCACTGGGCCGCTGGCCATTGAACAGCAGATAGCGGCCTCGGGCGTCCTGCTCCATTTTGAAGATCTCATATTCTGTGTGAGGTAGCTTTATACCCAGGGCCACGCAGCCATTGGTGTGTGTCACGTCCTGCTGAATGCCCACCTGCCAGGAGCCCTCAGCCCCACACTCGTTCCCGCTGAAGACGTTGAGGAGCGAGGCAGTGGCTGCATCCATGGGGGTGACCTTCATATGATTCACTGTGAAGAGAAATTTCCATGACTCTAGGGAGACAATAGGGGAGGCTGACACTCAGCCAGCAAAGGCCGAGGACACTGGCTCAGCAAGGTTTTCTTTTTAAAACACGATCTTACCTCCTCCCCAGCTGACCACACTGGTGACAAAAGTTCGTTCAAGTGGGACGCTCTCCACACCGATATGAAGATGAATGGTGGTCAGAGCAAACACAGCCAATTGGCCCCAGGCACATGTGCTCTGCAGTTACAGCTCAACTAAGACACTGTAGACACTGGAGGGAACCCCGTCTGTACTGAACACGCATGTATCTCTTCCTTGTCATTGTCCCAAACAACACCATATAATAACTACACACGGGCACTGGGTTTGGTATGAGAAATAATCTAGAAATGGAGTAAAGCACAGGAAGGCTGTGCACAGGATATATGCAGAGGGCGGGTGTACTTGTTTTTATAAAAGGGACTTGAGAAACTTTGGATTTTAGTGTCCTCAGGTGGTCCTGGAGCTAATTCCCCACGGATACTCACAGTTGATTATTTACTGCAGGTGTGGACCAAAAACGGGTGACATTTGGCATTTAAATGTGCAGCCAAATTTGCAGCAGTTCACACCTGTGAGCATGAAATGAAACTATCCCAGAGTTCTCCAGACATGCTCTTTGGGGCAAATGACTCTCTTGGGATGTAAAAATATTTTTAAAAAACCTGGGATTTTACTTTTAATGAAAGGTTTTGAGGTATTGAAAAGGCTTGGTGTCAAACATATATCCTAATTAGCATTTTCACAGATTAACATCAGCCCATCAGATGGACATCTAAAATTCAATTAGGCTGCAAACAAGAAAAATATTAATAAATACAAACTCTAGCCCTCATAGACTCTAGGGATCCTCCTAGGGGATCACACCTTGCATACAACAGTGGGCTTTGGGGTGAGCAGACAGATTTCTCTTGGTTAAGTTTACCACAAGGCCATTGTGCAGGAGCAAAGTTCCTCTGTCAAAGGAGGGCTCTCATGCTCAGGGCTTCCCTGAGGCAACACGAACATCTCATACTAATTGAACTATAGTGCTACCCAGGAGGGGTCGCCTCTGACCCAGTCACCTTCTTTATTTGGTGTTAGAGGCTGACACCACTCTACAGATATTCGAACTTAAAACTAAAGCAGCAGGGTCTCCCCTGTGGTGGACACCCAATAAAGGCCCATTCCAGCCTCCTTGCTTGGGTGGGCAGCACACAGTGTGAACTTTCCAGTGATTTTCTTCCCTTCAAGCCTGTGGCAAGCGCTCACATGCAGGCCCAGCTCAGGTTGGGAGTGACAACTCTGAGCACCAAGAAGTCACCAATAGCTGCTCTGTACTGTCCATTCAGGAAAAGAACCCATCATGCAGGTAGGCCTCGTGTTACCAGAGGGACAGCATGGGCCCATAGAGTGTCAATCAAAAAGAAAATCTGCAGGCTTGAGGTTTTATTTCGCAGCAGCATCCTTGGCTCATATGGGACAGCTTCCCATGTGGTGGTGTGGGTCCCACCGTACCTGAGCAGTGTATGGAGGCCTGGCACTACCCTGCTCTGAGCAGGCAGGAGCTCAAATGGTGTTTGCGGAGATGCTTAGAGGCAGAAATGGCTTTAACTTAATCCCCAGCATCTTGAGCAACAGAGATGCCCTTTTCCTCAGTTTCTGCCTCAAAAGAAACGTCCTAGAACTGCTCCTGAGCTGTGCTGTGGTAAGCAGAGGCAGCAGACCTACCTTTGAACACAAACTCTGTGCCACCCATGACCCTAGAGGACAGCACACCACGGCTATAGCGGCCCCGAGCGTAGATTGTGAAGGTGGGGTGCTTGCAGACAGGGTCTGAGTAATGGTAGTAATGCCCTTCCCAGGTGTTGTTGTTGTCATGGAAGATGAAGTGGCGGGTGAGGAAGAGGACTTCAGGGCGCACCTCACAACGCTGGCTCACCCATTCCCCATGAAGGCCGATGGTCAGGTCTGCCTTCGGGGGCAGGATGGGAGGGTGGTGTTCATCGGAGCGGTAGATGATCCGGCAGGCTATACAAGCATGGTTGTGGTTCTGAAGCAAAAAAAAAAATGAACAAACTTCCCATAAGTTCAGCATGAATGTGTGTCCCTGAAAATAGCGGGTTCACTATGGCTAGGACTAGGCACCCAGGGAACCATCACTTATAACCTTAAATCCCAAAGCAATCCAGGCTCTTGTGTCTAAAGTGAGGAAATGGTGTGTACCATCATGTGTATGCACACAAGTGCATTCAGGCATGACAGACAGACCTACCTCACAGTATCCTGAACTCTTTAGAATCCCGTGGAAGGTGGGATCATGGATCAGTACTTGGTTTCAGGAAGAAAGGATGTCAAGATCCCACACCCCATAAAATGGGACGATCAACAATCTAGAGGATAGCTGGGCATGGTACCACATGCCTTTAATCCTAGCACTCAGGAGGCAGAGGCAAGCGGATCTCTGTGTGATCAAGGCCAGCCCTTTTTCCACAGTGAGTCCAGGTCAGCTGGGGCTATAAGGAGATTCTGTCTCAAAAAGACCGAAAAAAAAAAAAAAAAAAAATCCAGCGGATATGTGTGGGTGAGGATGTGGAGAAATCCAAATGCTTAAGTATTGCTGGGGGAATGTAAAAATGGCATGGCCATTACAGAAAACAGTAGGGTGGTTCCTCAGAAACTTATACATTACTATATGATCCAGCTACTCCACTCCGAAATATACATTCACGAGAATTCAAAGCAAGGACTATGACCCACAATAGTCAAAAGGCAGAGCAATCCAAGCACAGCCACGAATAAATGGCTAAGCAAACTGTGGTCTGCCTATACCATGGAATAGGGAAGGGCACACATGCTACAACACAGATGAACTTTGGAACACTGTGTAAGTGAAGCAAGCCAGTCACAAAGAGATACACATTGTGGATTCCACTCAACTGAGGGACCTGAAGTAGTGAGATCAGAGGCAGGTGGTAGGAGAGTGGTTGCCAGGGACTAGGATAGAGAGAAGTAGAGAGTAGAGCTTCAGTTTTACAAGGTGAAGAGTTCTGGATATGGATAGTGGTTGATGACTACGCAACATTATGAATGTAACTGATGCCACTGAACTGTAGCCTTAAATTGGTTACAACAGATTTTATGCTGTATATTTTTACCACAATTAAAATCTTAAATGAAGAAACTGCAAGGTACCCTGGGGATAAAACAGAGCTGGGGTTGGAGACACTGGGTCCTGTTGACAGAGTTAATGCAGGAGGCAGAGTTAAGGCAGACAGAAGGGAGGGAGAAGGCCTCTGGGGAGTGTACACAGGCTATCTACATGTGCCTGGAGCCCAAAGTTCAGAGTTTCTTGGTTCTTAACATGCCTGCTTTCCCAGTTTTCTACAGCTTAAGGACCATGGCAAAACTGTGCTCTGACATCCAAAAGGCACTCCCTGTGGAGTGTTTTGGTTGGTACCCATATCACGCACATCAGCTCTGCCCATCCTGTTTGCCTGGAGGCTACAGAGCTGATAACCAACAGCCTCTGGCTTTAAGTCAGGAGAAATGGTGCACAGCACCTTCACCCTGCCGTCTCACCCAAGCCATAGGACAACTCTGAGCTGGGGTTTTCTCGGCTCTTCTACTCCCACAGAGTTGGTACAAGCCCCAAGGGGATGCACAGGGCACAGACCACAGGCTCTGATCGATCGCTGCCCTTTGATTGAGGAGGCATAGCTCATGGGGGCTGGCATCCCCACACTCCCAGCCAGGTGTGGCCAGGCCCACAGTCACACACACATACCCCATCATCCTTCTCAGAACACACTTTTTCTCAATATGCTTCCTAAGTCAGAGATTTCACCTCTTACCAAGGCCTTAAGGTTTACAGCCCTCACACATGTGACTTAGTGATAGAAGTCTGCCTTTATCAGTCTGTGATAAGGGTGGGAGGACAGGAGAACCGCCATCTGCCTCTTCCACATTCCCATTCAAAAACAATTGTGTACTCCTTGTGCCTTTGCGTTCCTTAGATGAGCTTGGGGTTACAACTTATGGGATAGAACATTTCCTTTGTTCTCACAGTTTATGGCTTATAGACAGTGAGATAACTCAGGCTAGAGTTGAGGGGAAGACAAAGTTCTCCCTGTCCTAGGGTCTAGGTGCACTTGCTGGCCTGGGGTTTCCTACAGAGGACTTTGGAGGCACATGGGAGAAAAAAAACTGTGCTGCAGCCTGTGATCAGCAGGTCCTAACAAGAAAGGGCAGGGGAAATCTCAAGTATGCAGCCCATTATGGACATGCTGAATCAGCAGAGAAAGATGGCTCTGGCCAGATCCTGCTGCCTGGCCCAACCGTGCTGCCTGGCCCACAGCTGGTGACCATGAGCAAGTTATCCATTTATCTCTGTTTCATTTTCCTCACTTATACAATGGTGACCATTATACTCAATTGCAGAACTGATACAGGAGAGAAATTGCACAGTAAGGTGGTTCCCGCTTAGTGTCCACCCCCTGGGGAAGACCAAAGCAATGGCCTATTGCCCCCAGGAGTCACTGTCCTTCAGACTCATTAGGGAGAAAAACACAAACTGAGGTCAAAGCAACCTTCGTCCTGGGGCTGTGACATTCTTTGTGTTCTCCGTAAGCTGCCAGAGGGGGAAGCTTCCAAGCTTTCACCCCAAAAGGGTTGTTCTGACATTTAAAGGTCAGGATGGAAAGTTCACTTCATGTCTGTAATGTGCCCAGCCTGGAGTTCTTGCATGCAGCAGTGCATGCTGGAACATGATTGATTGCAATCAGCAAAGGGCCTGTTCACAATGACACTGAGACCCTGGCCTAGCATGGCAATCTGCAGCTCCTGTAGGTGGCCTGCCCCATTACATGAAGAGTCCTACCAGAAGCCCATGTTCAATCAGGGTAAGAAGTTTGGACCCTCAGGGTCTCCAGTGAGCCACACAGAGCTGGGTCCCCCCTCTGCTGGTGTCTTCATAGCAAGGAAGTTTGCTGCTCACTGCACCTGCTCCCTGGCAGGTCCTAGGAGGCCCTGTGGGCTAAATTGCTTACTTCCACCCATGCCAACCTCCACCTCCCTTCCATGCCACTCTCCACAACTTGGCTTGCTGTCCGTAACAGTTTAGAACATCCGATTGTCAATTTCATTTCTGGCCTTTTTAGGAAGGTAATATTTGTTTTCTCCTTCAGTACCAGTATTGGTTCAGGAAAAGCTCAATGCTGCGGGGAGAACATGGATGATCAAGCGTTCTTTGCTTCAACGGAAAATGTTGCAGGGAGGAGAAAGCACAGCTGTCATCCAGGCTGCTCCAGAACAGCACCATCTTTGTGGTGGTATTGGGAGTGCTTCTTTAGCAACAACAGGCCAGAGTCCTGGGCTCCAAGAGGAGGATCCTGCTGGCCTGTGGTCAATCCAGATGGCTGGTGGTCCTGAGATAAAGGGATTCCATTGGGTAGCAAAGGAAGGTAGGCCAGGCACATTTGAGGGGGAGCCTGTTTTCTACCTGGTAGGTCTATGGGGATGTGGTTCATGTGCAGAGACTAGGAGGGACCTGGCCCTTAAATACTAATCTTACCAAGTTCCTACACTGGTTACTTTTGTTTTATTGTGGTAAAACAACAACAAAACAATAAAAATTAAAGGGACCTACAGGAATAACTTCAGAGAAGCAGAAAGCAAAGCTTGGCCCTCTTAGCCGTTTTTAAGTGCACAGTTCTATAGCATTAATACGTACAGCCACATGATTGGGTACCCGTCACCACTCTCCATCTCTATCTAGAACCTTCTCATCCTCTGCAACTGAAACTGACCCTGTACTCCTTCCTCCCCTGACCCCTGACAACCACCCTTCTACTTTCTGTCTCTGAACATGACTAAGAACCCCTATGAGAAAAATCATACAGTACTTGCCATTTTGTGACTGGCCGATTTCATTAGCAAATGTATTTAAGGTTGACCCTGTTATAGCAAGTGTCAGAATGTTCTTTTTCTGGTTTTGGGGGGTGGGGTGGGGGGTGGGGGGAAGTTTGAAACAGGGTCTCCCTGAAATACCAGCTGGCCTGGAACTCGCTACAGAGACCAGGCTGGCCTTGATCTCACAAGAATGTTCTTTTTAAGACTGAATCATTCCATACACACATTTTGTCCACTTATCTGTTCCAAGACAGAGTATTACCATCTTTTTGTTGTAAATAATGTTGCCGTGGACACAAGTGCTGATATGTGTTTGAGTTTCTCTTCTAATCTTTTTGAATATATACCCAGAAGTAAACTACCAGCACATATGGTTACTTAATGTTTACGTTCTTTAGGAAAAACACTATTCCACAGTTGTACCATTTTACATTTCTATCAACAAAGCACAAAGGCTCCAATTTCCCCACATCCTTGCCAACACTTATTTTCCTTTTCTTCCCCTCTTGGTAATAGCTGTCCCAATGGGCAACTTGGTATCCCATTGTGGGTTAAATTTATACTTCCTTAACGATTTGTGATGAAGAACATATCTGTCATTTGTACAACTTCTTTAGGGAAAGGTCTGTTTAAGCCCTTGGCCCATTTTTATCATCCCACCCTTTTTGAAGCAACAAGTTACTTTTGGAAGCAATTCTGCAGTTACCATTATGCAACCAAAGATGTCATAAGCAGAGGCAGTTTTTGGCCTTTGTGGATAGGGTCAACAAGGTGACAGTTTTAGTCATGCATACGTAAAGAGACACCTCTTTGTAAATTAAGTTTAAAATTCTGTTTTCTTAAATTCTTACATTCTTTAGCATGAATAAAAATTCAAGGAACCTACAGGAATAACCACTGAGAAGCAGAACGCAAAGCCTACACAGTCTGTTCAGCTCCTTTCTAAGGTGGTTTTTCTGAAATAGCCCTTCCAGACTAATGAACAGAAACAGAACTACATATGGAGATTTTCAACATGAAAGATGATTTGTACTATAAGATGGCATTTGCTTTATAAAATAACTTTGTTTGGGGATCTACATTCTTATACAGGATCCCCACTTGACAAATGTCCTTTCTCAGGCTTACCAACTTGGCTTCTGT